AAATACTGGTTTTCTTTCATATTATATATGTTTGGTTTCATACATTAGAAAACAAAGAAAAGACTACTAAACCATTATGTACTAACAATCCTCCTATATGGCAGTGAATGCTAAAAATACCATTGATGGAGCATGTAAGCAACAAATGTCTCAAGGAAAATGGAAACAAAAAGGATGCATATTTAAAATCAGAAAGACACAGCTGAAATTTCTTGGACATATAATGAGGAAGGAGGGCTTGGAGCATTTGACACTCACAGGACATATGAAAGGCAAGAGGGACAGGGTGAGACAATGAGCTACCTACCTGACCTGCTTGTGAAACAAGGAATGGAAGGGATAGCAAAAAAAAAAAAAAAAAAATGTTGCTAAGACCTACAAGGGACAGAAAGTTGAGGAGAGCTATGATCCCCCACATCCTGAAAAGATATAGGGTACAGAAGTTTCAATAAATAACTTGTCTGTTTTAGTACTCTGAATTTTCCAAAATTCTTAATCTCAAAAAAAAGAAGGAAAAAAAAAAAAAAAAACAAACCTTGGAACTCGATATCAAGACTTATTTATAGTGACTGGCGTGTATTTTGGCCTACAGTTTGATTCATCAAATGTCGTGTCTATAAGTTTTGAAATCTTCCAGCTTGCAGGCAGCTCCTCTCCATCACCAGCATCATTGGGTTTGACACCTACCTCTCATTTCAAGTTTTTTATTAGTTCAAAACAAAGATCTAGTTCTTGATACATCATTTTCCTTGCTATCTCTATTATCACTCAACACAGATTCTAAATCACTCTCAAGCTAGTTACTCATATTCAGCCACATCAGCTGACTCAAGTAAATCAAATTTGCTGCTGTTTTGATCTAGTCACTGGTCACTCAATGTAAACTTAATGCAAATGCATGCTTTAAGATAAATCCTGGGCCTTGCCATTCGCATTTATCACAAATATGGGACTGGGGACATAGAGACACCATAGCAGATCAGTTAAGCAAAGTTATAATGGCACTAAAGCTACGAGGAACAAATTTTACATCTGGAGACAATGTTGTTACTAAGATTTTGGGACTTATACACGTCAAAGTCTTAGAATTCATTAAGAAATTTGCCAAAGATACGACAAAGTATATCTAAATTGAGTTTCATAATAATAATTCCATCTCTCACTCATATATATCAGACAATTTCTGTCTGAATATGAAGAGTTATTTACATTATAAGTGGACTATTGTCCTTATCCTTGTTATCATAATGTTTTGTCTATTGTACCCTCTAGCCAGGAGGAGGCACGATGGAGTAATGGATAGCAGCTCGGATTGAGGAATCAGTGAGTTGAGTTCTAATTCCAGTCAAATCCATTACATTCACTTAGGTGCTAATACCATTGGGAAAGGTATGAATCCTCTTCTCCCCACCAGCTATGGGTAAATAGCAGGACAAACCGGGTTCTATAGCCTTCGATGACAACTGGTCTACTGCAGAAAGAAATGGCAACCTACTGCGGGGAAAAAATCTGCCTCGTCAGTCGCGTAAGATAGATGTTGGATTTAACGGGATGTCACCTCCTATTGTAAGATACATGATTGCCTAAGCAAGGTGATAATGCCACTAAGATGCAAGGGGGTTACTGAGAGTGAAAGAAAATCAGAAAAAGTTAGGAGAAAGAACAATAAAAGAACAGGGTTTAGGAAGACAGAACAAGGTGACTGATATTGCATTTAGATTTTTTGAAGATTGGAGTTGGTAAGAAAAAGAAAAAGAGCCCGAAGAGAGTTCCACAGGCAAGAAGGATAAGACAAGAAACTATTATAATAGAATTTACAGTTACATCTAGCTGTTTCAACAGTAAAATGAGGAGATGTGATTGCCAATCTAGTAGTGCAGTTAAATCCATAAGGTTGAGGTACCAAAGGGGAAAGCTCCTTATGAAAATCTTTAGAGAAAAGGCACAGAGAAGCTACATTACATTGTGGTGACAAAGTAACTGAAGCCGAGATGCCAGGTCAGGACTGATAACATTACAGACCCTTCTTTGGATTTTGTCAAGAATCTTGAGATATATAGCAGGAGCACTGGAGCAGATGTGGCAGTAATATTTAATGCATGGATGAATGATAGATTTATAAATGTGCAAGATGGATTCTGGTCAGAAAAATTGTCTAGCATGACACAATGAATAAACTTTCTTGCAATTGATTCAATATAATCATTCCACTTTATGTCAGAAGATGAAATGAAAGGCAAAAATAATTCTCTAAGATAACAAAATGACAACAGTTTCCTTTTGGAGGTGTTAAAATATCCAAGCCATTTCTAGCCCCAGTTAATAACTGACTGAAAGTTAATTTTTAGATGTTATTGAAATTATTGAACTTACTATTAAGACAGGAATAAATAGTTGTCAAAAACAGATACTCATTTGGGAACTGATGGCATTGGGAAGGTTCAAGGATGGAGCCCTGGGGGACAACCAAATTGATATGAAATAATCTGAAAGAGTGGCCATTCAACATGACCTTTATACATCATCATGTTGTAAAAATTAACATTACTGAAGTTGTAAAAGTTAAAGATTGAGACATTTTTTTTTTTTTTTTGCAGTCTGCCCTTCCACCCAAATTCTTTTATGAATTAACCTTTTCAAACATCTAGATCACATCTTTAAATGCAATATCTTCTCTCATCAGAATCAAATTGAAGCATTTAATGGATTTTTCAAGTCTTTGAATTGACAACTTTGTTGAAATAAATTAGCAATTTTATGTTTATCAAACTGATAACATTCATTCATGTATAGAGATGTAAACATAGCTCCCAAGCAATCACAGACCATGTAAATTTAACACAAAAATATGGTTGGCAAAAATACAAAAATTGAATCTTACACAAACATACATGGGAATTGGTTACTTATTTCCAGTCAGATAAGTCTTATAATGCACATATATAATATTGTGTATGAGAGAGAATTTCACAGTGTATAAATACTAAACTAATCCTAGTCAGTGGACCAATCTATACATAAATAATCTTATTTTTTATGAGTACTATGTTCAGATTAAATATAACAGGTAATTGTTCTATTTTTTACAGTAGTATAAACCAAAGAATTATTTTTGCAGTTAGAAAGTTTTGATTAATAAAGATAATTCTGTTAGAACAGGACATAAAATTAACAGTTCCACAAAGAGATCTGTCACATGAAGCAATTTTCTTTTTTATTAAGAAGGCCCTGAGAAAACAAAAAAATAAGGTAAACAAATTTATATATGTTAATCTTGAAAGAATGTACACCAAAACTCCACACAATAATAGCTTAGAGTGTTTAAAAAATAGTTAAAACACAAGCAACCTTTCTCAAGGTCTTTTTAAATAAATCATGGTCTTCTACAATAAATTACGAAGGTTAATAACCCTTTTCTTTATTTCACTGCTTTAAATAAAAATAATTTATATGAGGGTAAATCAGAAAGAAATGGAAATTTTGAAATTACATGGTTAAAACAACAGGGAATTGCTGACGCACAACAACACAAGTGCGCATGGTAGCTAGTCGCATGCAGCATTCCAATGTTCAGTCTAGTCGCAAGGAGCAACAAGATAAAATGTATAGACACTCCACTCAAAATGACTGCACCATCAAGGAACAAGCTGCCATAGTGCACTTTCTGTGACCAGAGGAAGTCAAATGGAAATCCATTATCATATGTTGGCAGAGTATGGAGTATGCACCAGGAATCAATGAAAGTATGAATGGGTAGAATGGATGAAAGCTGATCTGGCACAGTAGAACACATCCAAAGGATATCTTGATCAGGGAAAACTGACTAAACACGTTAATGGCAGCAATCGTGGGCATCAGCTATAGATCTGCGCAAACCATATTGCATGATGACTTGGGCTATCGTAAAGTTTGTACACGCTGGGTGCCCAAACAAGCAAGCAGTGCAGACATGGCAACATGAAAAAGCTTCAGTATCTGTCTATATTTCTGAGACACACTATTTACATTGCTCAGACTATCATCCTCATCTTTGTTGCCATATTTATCACAACATTAACCGGTGAGAATGCTCCGTCCTTTTCAGGTGGTCGGAATGTCAAACAGAACCCCAGCAAAATAAAGGGTTCAGTTCGACATTCCAACCACCTGAAGAAAGCCAGAGCATACAATGGATGAAACGTTGTGATAAATATGGCAACAAAGATGAGGATGATAGTCAGGGCAATGTAAATAATGAAAAAGCTTAGTGAATGATACTAAATGTGCGTCAACATACAGGGGGACTAAGTAGAAATTATTTGTTCTTCATCAGCAGAATCTCCCCAGCTTTGGCTGGGGTAGTTTCAAAATAATAAAATCAAAATAGCAATTTTTCAATGATATTGGCATTAAACCCACTTTAAACCTTGACCTTGTTTCACATTCAGTTGGGTACATTGAAAAATCCAAATCAGTGGAAATAAAGGTTTTGTATGGAAATTGCTTTTTGATTTCCCCTTGTATCTTTTGAATAAAAAAAATTAAAAGTGAACAAAAAAAAAAAAAAATCTTTTATTTTGTTCATTCTCCTCCCTCCACCCATTTTGCATTTCGAGAAGACTGCCACTTGAATGAGAGAATTAATTCTTGTAGGACCAGTTCACCCTCATTTTGACAACATTTCAAATACTTTGAAAGACAATCTCAAATAAAGAAAAGAAGTAAAAATTGCTAATATTGACATTGTTTTCCCATAGATTAACAGTGTCCATATACAGCATTAACAGCTTCATATAGTTTGTAAAACATTTAAGGATATCAGTTTTAATCTGCTTCTCTTAATAAAATTACAGCATAAATTATTGTATCTATTCAACTGGGTTCTTAAGAGCTTTTTTTTTTTTTTTTAAATCACAGCCATTACACCACTATGCTTTACTACCAATAATCAGACTACTATGTCTCCATCATAACTTCTTTCTGAACTGGAATCAGTTAAGCTTACTGACTGAGAATCCTAGCTAGTAATAATGAGAAAAGTGAGGAGAAGGAAACTGAGGACATGAAGGAGAAAATGCTAGAAAGAAAAAAATGAGGGGAGGGGGTAGAGAGAGAGAGAGAGAGAGAGAAAAGGAGACACTGGAGAGAGAGAGAAAAAGGAGACACTGAGAGAGAGAGAGAAAAGGAGACACTGGAGAGAGAGAGAGAAAAGGAGACACTGGAGAGAGAGAGAGAAAAGGAGACACTGGAGAGAGAGAGAGAAAAGGAGACACTGGAGAGAGAGAGAGAAAAGGAGACACTGGAGAGAGAGAGAGAAAAGGAGACACTGGAGAGAGAGAGAGAAAAGGAGACACTGGAGAGAGAGAGAAAAAGGAGACACTGGAGAGAGAGAGAGAAAAGGAGACACTGGAGAGAGAGAGAGAGAAGAGAGAGAGGGAGACACTGGAGAGAGAGAGAAAAGGAGACACTGGAGAGAGAGAGAAAAAGGAGACACTGGAGAGAGAGAGAGAAAAGGAGACACTGGAGAGAGAGAGAGGAAAGGAGACACTGGAGAGAGAGAGAAAAAGGAGACACTGGAGAGAGAGAGAAAAGGAGACACTGGAGAGAGAGAGAAAAGGAGACACTGGAGAGAGAGAGAAAATGAGACACTGGAGAGAGAGAGAAAAGGAGACACTGGAGAGAGGTTTTCTGGCAGATGGCTAAAAGACAATAAACAGTGAAAGAATTCTTTTTGAGAAGAACCATTTTCCAGATCCAAGTTCCACTATTTAACACACAGATATAGATTCATACCTTTCTCAAGGGTATTTGTATGTGAGTTAATGTAATGAACTTAACTGGAATTCAAACTCTGCTCTGATTTCTCATTTCAAACAATCTTACATCTATGAGGCTTTGTATTCCAGAGCCTTAATAAAGAAAATGTACCTTTCAGAAGAGTTTGAGCCTGTGTCCCAATTAATGACCTAAATAAGTTGGAAGATAAACTTGCAAGCAATTAATAATGATGACAAAGCTTCATCTAAGAAATTCAAGTTTAAAACTTTTGTAGGAATATGTAACAAATCCACAGAAGTTTTGTTCACCTTGATAAAAGATTTTCTGTTGATCATAAAAATGAGAAAAATATTGAACAGCAAAAGTAGATTCAGTTTCTTATGAAGAGAGAAATGAATGAATTTTAATGAAATTCAATTATGCATTAATATTTTAACAAATCAAGAATGCCCTTTTATTGGCTCAATTTTATCCAAAATAACAAAGAACTTCTTGTTTTATTTCTAATGTCAGAATTAGAGAAATTCTTCAAATTATTTTGTCATAATCTGATCAATTCTAAAATGCGTATTTCAGTGTGTGCGCTGAATATAAACAAATAGACAGCCATAAAGTAAACAACTGTCAAACTGAAAGCCACTCCCAAAAGCTGATCGGTCTGTTTATGTCATACATTTAAACACAAAATATGTACATAATCAAGCAAGTACAAAAATTTTAATAAATGTGATGCTGAAATCTGAAGGTAGGGTGAACAATGCCTTCCAAAAGCTAAGCAAAATTACTAAGAAACAGGAAATTTCTTTAGAAACAAAGAAAGGTGTACTGAACTGGGATGCAATATCAGTCCTTCTATATGGTAGTAAATACTGGACAATCTCCTCACAGATGAAGAGACTTGAGGCAACACAAATTTGGTTCTACACAAAGACACTAAGAATACCATGAACTGAACATGTGAGTAACCACAAAATTTTAAGGAAAATAGAAACAAAAAGAAAACTTATACACACAATCAGAAAGAGAGCTGAAATTTCTAGGACATAGAAGGAAAGAAGGCTTGAAGAATTTGACACTGACAAGGCATATTGAAGGCAAAAGGGATTGAGGGAAACAGCAAGTAACCAACTTAACAAGCCTTGGTTTTTGTTTTTTTTAATCATTTCGCCCAAATAAAGTCACTAAGATGCAATGGGTTACAGAGTGTGAAAGAATAAAAATGTTATTAAAAAGAGAACAATAAAAAAATGAGAATTAAGACGACAGGAGATAATGATTGACATTGTATTTAAATTTTTGAAAATCAAAATTGACTGGAAGCAAAAGGCCAGAAGAGTATTCCACAAGCGAGAAGTGCAAAAGAAGAAACTGATTATATCTAGCAATTTCAATAATAAAATGAGGAGACTGAGCTGCCAATCTAGTACTGCACTTAAATTTGACAAATCAAGGTACTTTATAGTAAGATTAATTAAGGATTGTAAGAATATTTTATTTGCAAGTGAATATTGCATTAATTTATTTTGAGAACAACAAGGATTTTCCAGTCGTACTATTTCACCCATATTTGGGGGATGAGCTGGATTTATACCTTTTCCAAGTGTATTTGCACATAAATGATTGTAATGATCCTAACTGGAATCTGCCCTCTGATTTCTTATTCAGAGCTACTTTCAATTACTCAACCCATATATACCACATCTGAGAGAATACAAAAAGTTTTTCGGGTTAAAAAAAAAAAAAAAATATGAAGCTATTTTCAAGTGGTATGGTTATCAGAAAGAAAACATTTCATATACTTAAACACGGCCTATGAAGAGGAACCTAAGTCAAGCTACTTGTACATTTTTTTGTAAATTGTTCCCAGGTGCTGTGACTTAACTTTTAAGGCAGTACAAATCAATTTTTTGCGGCAGGGCAGAAGCAACCGTAACAATTTTGCTGTAATTTAAGAGTTTGCTTACTTAATGGATCAACCATTTCTTGGAGTTTCCAATATAATTCAGCAAAACCAGGAGTAAGAAAACCTTTCTCAAAATGCCACGAATGGAAAATCAAAAACTAGATTGAAAAACTGTTTAAATGGATTTATTTAAAACAAATGTTAATTGTTCAATTTCACGAGTCGATAGAGGATTGGTTTGGTTTTACAGCATATCGACCTCAATAGGTTATTTAATACTGACAAAATTTTTATTGTTAGTAATATTTTTCCTTCAAAAAATCTATTACTGGTAAAATTTTTCTTTCAAAAATTCTATTTCTGGTAATAATTTTCTTTCAAATATGTATCGCTGGTAATATTTTTTTTTTTTTTTTTTTTTTTTCAAAAAATATATTGCTGGTAATATTTGTTATTCAAAAATTTATTGTTGGTAATAATTTTTTACAAAGTATTTCTGGTATTAAAACGCATTTTTACACTTTCATAATGTTTTGACCCCAGTTACAATTCCATTTAATAAGGTTTTGCATCTTGATTATGTATTATGAATTTTTACATGTCCAATTTTTTTTTATATGGGTGACGTGTCCATTTTTATATACTTCTGACGATTAGCGTTTTGCTTCTTGTTATTTTTTGTTCTTTGAACTTCTTTTGTTTCTACTTTCTTCTTTGATTTTGCTCCCTTAGTTTTACCATTCGGTTCTTTTTAATGAACTTTGTCTAGATGATGATCTTTCCCTTGTTTGTGATGGGCTAGAGTTTTGTCCCTCTATGTCCATTTTCATCGGTTCTTCAATAACCGTTTTCTTATTTTTTTTTGTATTTTTTCATTCTCTTGATCTATCATCCCAACTAGCTCTTGCCACTATGTGACTAGCCAATTGGAATGGACTGGGCTATTCCATCCACCCATCTATCCGAAGTGACGTGTTGTGGAAACTCCTGGGCATTTTATACCAGATCAGGAGTCACCAGGACTCCATTCTCAGGCATCACAGGTTGCCACCCAAGGCAAACAGGTGGCCCCATTTAGGGAAAATTTTAGTTTTTTTGAAATCGGGTTTTGTGAATGTGCACTTTATATACTGCAATTTGTGTTAATGGTATTATTACAAAAACAAAAAAAAAAAACATTCTTACACTTTCCTAGTATTCCGACTCCAGATCAAGGGAGGGGGGGAATATTTACCCATAGCTGGGACCCTAACAGATGCTACCACCCCGAGTCAGGGTGGACCCAGGAACAACAGCAACTAAGAGGCAGTTCCACGCTCCTCAAAACCTCCTGATCAGAGACCTTGCTGCTGGATACAGTTTATCGTCATACCCAGGACACGCTGATAGGTGAACTTCTGTGGAACTTCGTACTTTTTAAAAAGTTGATCTACTGCCTAAGAAGCCAAAAATGTTTCTGATGTTAGTGCAGAGAAGATCTCTCTATTACATAAAATTGCAAAGTAGATAGAAATCACCAACAGTTACACCTGAAAACTATATTATTATTATCATTATACAACAGAAGACTTGGATTTAACATTTTTTTATATAATTGATATCAGAATAAGATATGTCATGTCACAAATGAAACATTTTTTAAATATTCTCACCTTCCTTGCAGACAGACCTAATTCATGTTTCCATATATAAGGTAATCAAAAAAGTCCTTGCCACTTTTTAAACTGAGGGAAGAAGTGGTCACTGGTACACAAATGAGAGCATATGCCAGGAAAGCAGTAGTGGGGGGCATTGATCTTGGTCAATGCAGGTGTACTGTACACACACACACACACACACACACACACACGTCATAGATTGAGCAGTGGTGAGGAAACTTGCCAGTGTTGAATCAGCTCATTTGGGTTTGTCTGCTTTATGAATTTAAGATGGGCATATGCACATGTTCATCAAGTTACTGAATACATTAAGCCTTTCGGGGATAATGCAGTGAATGAACACACTGCCAGGTATTGATTCCAGAAGTTTAGGACATGAGATCTGCCCCTTTGTGATGAACACTGCGGTGGCCAAACACAGGTCCTGGATGCTGAGGCCCTGTGATGATCAGTGGTGAAAAGTGTGTCCGGTATGATACTCCTAAGCATGCCAGACATTGGCTGTCACTATTGGACACTGTGCCTCACACCATAATACCACTTCTACACCGACATAAGATCATGCTTTGTATCTAGTTAACAAGTGATGTACTATGAGCTGCTACTAACAGGCCAAACCATCACTGCAGGCCTGTACTTGCAGCACTGAAACAGAAGGAGCCAGCATTGGTACATCACAACAGTACTGTTCCTCTATGATAATGCTAGGACTCATGTGGCCAGGGATACCATACAGCAACTTGGATGGGAGACACTGTAAATTCAACCTTACTGCCAAGACCTTACCATCTCTTCCATTTCATGAACAATGACCTCCTTGAGAAATCCTTTGCAAATGAGACCAACTTGTGGCAGACATTCACAGACTTCTTTGCATCCAAAATAACTGATTTTTACCTCTGTGGCATTGTGCTGCGGGAGCTGGAAGCATGTTGGTAAAAGATTCTGGATGCCAATGGGGATTACTTTGAGGACTAATGGTATGTCAAATTTGGTGTATACCTTTTTTTCTTTTATATAATAAATCAAAAATGGCAAGGACATTTTTTGGTTACCATATATGATAATACATAGTTTTAATGTATGCTATATTTATGTGTTCAAGTGCTCAATATCAGGGACTGGACATTGAAGTCATCACCCAAAGGGTGACAGTCTGTTCATGCTAAACACAATTGCATTTAGCATGAAACAAACTGTCACTTTTGGTGTTGACTTCAATGTCCACTATATACATATATATACACACACACATATCAATGGATCAAAAATTAACATATTGAAAAATCCGGTAAAAAATTTATTTCAGTAGATAATTTTTTTAATACCTGCCTCATCAGACCAAAATTACTAAAAGAAAAAAAAAAAAAAAAGAAAAAAGAAATTATGAAATAATCTTGTAATTTCAGTCTGATGAGGAAGGTATTAAAAACTCATCTGCTGAAATAAATTTATTACCAGATTTTTCAATGATGTGGTAAGTTTCTTCCTTTAATGAATATCATATTGCTCTGTATACAATACATTGAACTCTCTTCATGGATCTATCTTTTAAATATTTTATATTAAAAAGACCTACTTGGATCAGCCTTTCCACTTACGGATTTGATATATATTATATAAAACTTTCTGGATTTAAAGAATAATATCCTGGACAGTGTCTCCAGAAGTTTAAGATTAACACTGATCGTCTAACACTATTACTGAACTCCTGTTCAGCCAAAACTGGTAATTTTATTCACAAGATCATCCTTTGATAAAGCGGAATAGAAAGAAGTCAAAAGATAAGTAATCATTGGCAGATATGAAGATGACAATGTCAACTATGATGAATGAAAATAACATTTATTTTAATATATTCTTTCTGGAAATTTCATTCATTTCTCTTTTGTATTCCAAATCGAAATACTTTTTTGAGGGAAAGAGATTCTGAAAAGTTAACAGCCTAAACCCACTTTCCAAAAACTGACTCAAAAGATTTTTTTTTTTTAATCCCTTAATTAGCCTGAAAACTTTCCAGAACTTCTTTATGTGGCTGACGCCATCAAAAATATTCTTGTTCCATTAAACTCAAAGACAACTATGTTTGGAGTCTTCTTGCATTTTAGCATTAAATTCACGACTAAAATTGAAAATACACATTCAAGCTTGTAACACTTAAGAGCTCAAAGTGTCAAATTAATTATCGCAAGAATCACAACTAAATTTCCCAGACAATATAATTAAACAGATTCATTACAAGACAGACAAAAACAATTAGATTCAAAATTTCTTCATTAATGTTTCATCATGAAAATGAATCAATTTTACACTGCACCTTAAAGCACCTACTGGGTACAACAAGTTAAACAATGAATAACTAGAACGACTATTTCAAGTCTGAACAAAAGTAGGTATAAACACTTAAGATGTCATATTCCAATCCAAGAGGACAACTTGAAGTGAGTGACCACTGACTTCTCAACAGCCTACTGACCACTCAACCACTTACATAGAAATACTGATTATTTCAGGCTTGACTAAAATTCTAGAATTGCTTCGTCTGCCATTGACATGAATTGTGACTGAGGAGTTCGACAGTGAACTTTGGAAGCAGTAATACAGTTTGAAGTTCGGCCATTTAAAACTAATAACTTTGAGGAAGATTTGTGCCTGAAAAAGACTTCTGATAAAAAAAAAAACAAAACAAAAACAACAATATATACACAAACAGTTAAGAATGTTTTAAACTCTTCTAAAGGCAGAATAAAAAGAAAAAGAAAATAAAGAAAGAAAATAAAAGAAAGAAAATAAAAAAGAAAATAAAGAAAGAAAATAAAGAAAAGAAAATAAAAGAAAAGAAAATAAAGAAAAAAATAAAGAAAGAAAATAAAGAAAAAAAATAAAGAAAGAAAATAAAGAAAGAAAATAAAGAAAAAAATAAAAAAGAAAAAAAAGAAAGAAAAAAAAAAAGAAAAAAAAAGGAAAAGAAAAAAAAAAAAAGAAATAAAAAAGAAAGAAAAAAAAGAAAGAAAAAAAAGAAAGAAAAAAGAAAGAAAAAAAAAAGAAAAAAAAAAAGAAAGAAAAAAAGAAAAAAAAAAAAGAAAGAAAAAAAAGAAAGAAAAAAAAGAAAGAAAAAAAAGAAAGAAAAAAAAGAAAGAAAAAAAAGAAAGAAAAAAAAAAAAGAAATAACAACAAGTTACTACATCACCAAGAATGAAATTCAGTTTCATTTTTAATCAGGCCTTCACAATTAAAAAATGTGAAGGGCCACATTACTCATAAAAATTAGCCACGGACTGCAAGAATAAATTTTTGAGTTAATTACCAAGTCAAAGAAAAAAAAAAAAAAAAAGGCACTATTGCATCAGAAAGGAGGCATGTCTTAATCAAAAACAAAGATTTTGCAGTTTTTTTGATGATGATTAAATGATCATTAGACTTTTTTTCTTTCCCCCAAAGTTTACATTTAGTTTTTAATACTTTGCCACACACTTCCTTGTGGTATATTTTTTTTTTTTTTTTTTTTTTTAGGTATTCCAGCATTTAATAGAACAACATTGAAAAAGATGACTACTTTTTCAGTCTTTTGGCCACCCACTACCACACCACCCAACTAACATTGACATTTGACGTTTAAACTAGCCCCTCACACTTCAGATGGAGGATAAGGAAATACCAGCTCTCTGCATACTCTACTCAACCATTTCCATTACTTGTGGATATGAAATAAAGGGTAAGATTTTGATGAGATTTGAACACACGTCCCTTTCGTCTCAGGTGTTGAAAATGCTTATGTTGAATGACTTCCTCAAGGTTGAGGAAGAGACTCAAGGCGATGAAGATGTGGTTCTACAGAAGGATGCTAATGATATCATGGATCAAGCACGTGAGCAATGATGAGGTCTTAGATAGGTTAAAAATGAGGAGGAGGTGGTTTATACTTAACATCAGAAAGAGGCAATTGAAGTTTCTGGGACACATAATGAGGAAGGAGGGGTGGGAGAATCTGATACCCACAGGTCAAATAGAGGGAAAGAGAGACAAGGGAAAGCAATGTGTGACATACCTGATGAGATTGAGCAGGTGGATGACAGAACTAAGTCTGGGGGAGGAAGCAGAGGGAAGGAGCTTGCTGAAAACTTTAAGGGATAGAGGGTGGTAGAGAGCCATTATTGCTTACATCCTGAAAGGACATGGCACATAAAAAGAAATATAATAAAAAAGAAATTCGATAACCATAATATTGTTACTATTGTCTTCATTCAAAATGAAATACTTTGTAGGTTCAGTATTAAACAAGTTAAAATGAGGTTACACACACACAAAAGAGAGAGAGATGTTTTTAATATTTTTAGTTCTCTGTATCACATAAGGATAGCAGATATTAAATGAAGCAATATTGATACTGAAAAATATCTCTGAAATATTCAACAAGAGCTTTTTATAAAAGATCTCTCTGATTCAGGTATTTAATCAGTGACATTAATAAAATCATACAATTATTTTTTTTATTATAGATATTGGTGTTTTTAACATTCTTTCCAATTTATGAATACACACAAATGCAGTTATTGAGAGTTTATACCCAGAGTTATTAAGTGGCTACTCATTTAAAGTATCAAATGAGTGAATATACAAGTGATTTTAAAATCTATGCATTTATTTAAAGGTTGGAGGATTTAAGAACAATTATTTAGTCAAACTTATGTCTTTCTGATTTTAGTTATTCTTAAGAATCAGATTAAAATTTGAAAAGTAACATGTCAGAGAAACAAACATTAACAAGTAAATATCTCAGTAAGTCTATAACCTAAGTATTTATACATTTATATATTTGAGCCAAATAAAATTATTCTTCCAAAACAATTTTCAGTAAAGAGTTATATAACATTAAACACTCATCAATAACAGCTTCCAAAATTGTATTGATGAACAAATAAAATTTTATTTAATGATTAGTAACATTTATAACAGTGCCAAATATAGAGCACCACCATTATAGGTATACTTTGTCCTATGTTGTTAATTTGTTCCAGAGGTCACAACTTAGGTCAAGAAATTACTTAAGTCAAAATAACCCCACTATAAACCACAAATAATCACTCCCCATTGCCTGTTACAATATTTATGATATGCATGTACAATATTATGAATAAAATAATTAATTTCCACTTTATCTTCCAGCAATATAGGTTTACATTTAGCACTTGCACTGGGACTTTTCTTCAGAGCCATTGGTAAAAATGTATTCTAAATCACAATTGAAATGTAATTGAAATGGCAGCTCACAGATGTAAACCAGTTTGAATTCAAAATCAGTGTTGGAGTGAAAAAACAAACAAAAAAAACACCCAAGTGCCACCTGTCTGCAGAAATTTAAAATAGGAACATCTGCTGAATATACTTTATTATACAAATTGTTTTTTTTTTATGATTCTATTATATATATATATATATATATATATATATATATATATATATATATATATATATATATATATATATATATTTTTAAATTTATTAGAATATAATTTTATGTGTTTATTATTTCGGTGTTTTGACGTTTCTAATATTTTTAACAGCCAACATAAACTCGAGTAAAACAACCTAAGATGAGTTTCATTTTTCCAAATAATATTTAAGAAAAACCAACGTATCTTTAAAAGTGACTAAACTCAAAACAACTTAAATCAAGGCATCACTGTATTTTATTGCAATCAGATGCACTAAAACTATAGCCAAGGTGAAAAGCTATAAAAGATTTTCATTTGTTCATGAAATAATAATTTTAATTCATATGCATCTATGAAGTGGTGTATGAATTTTGGACATGGTGAAATGTTACATGAAAACCAACCACAATCTGGTTAAAATTAGGTCAAAATTATGAAAAACATTTGCAGAGCTAACAATGGAACTTCAATCTGAATCTTTTATTTCATCTCTGGAGATTGACAACAATCTATAGCTAGGGATATCTCACCTTGTTCTTTGTTAGTACTAAAAAGAAAGAGCTCTGTTCAAAATTCCATGAAGGTTACCCAGTTCAACAGAAATCTGAAGAAAGCTGGGAAGGCACAATGACTGATATATTGTGATAACAACAACAAAGGTGGGCATATCACTGTGACTGTATATAATGTAATAATGCCTCATCTCAGAAATCCAGACAGAAAAAATTACTAATGAATACATTATCAGGCTACTGATGAGATATTTGAGGTGATGAACTTGTATTGATGTTCATACCAGTAAATGTAAACAGATTTCAAAGTGAAACTAATACCTAAAATATTTGGGTTTTGTCGACTCAAACAAGATCTAAAAGAGCAGTTGTTTGAATATCGACCACAGTATCAGAGATCAAGTTCAAAACTACGAATAGTTTCTCCTCACCATATATATATATATATATATATATATATATATATATATATATATATATATATATACACACACACATTTCATTAAAGATGACAGACAAGGTACTGTGATTAAGTTTTTGATTTAATTTTTCTGGTGTTCAAACAAGTGTTTTCTTTTCTGTATACAGAGTGTGTAGAAACTGTCCAAATGTTCTGTAATTCCGAACACTTTCAGCTATACTTTTAGCCATTATCAAGGATGATTTTATTTTTGCTTTTTAACTGGTTGTATGGGTTGTGTGTCTGTTTCTAGAGTTATAGGGATGTATTATTTTGTGAACACATTACATTGTGTCCATGTTTGTAGCTAATATTATTATTGAGTGTTGGCATTTACTTTTTTTAATAGGCTTCCATTATTTTTAATCTTTTCTTAAATGTGGATGAGGTTATTATGTTATGTGCGGAAAATAAACACAAGAAAAATTAAATAAAAAGCTTAAACGCAGTACCTTGTCTGTTATCTTTAATGAAACATGTATAAATCAAGGATTTCTGCCTAAATACACTATATATATATATATATATATATATATATATATATATATATATATATATATATATATATATATATATATATAATAAAAAATAAATATATATATATATATATATATATATATATATATTTATATATATATATATATATATATATATATATATATATATATATATATAGATAGATAGATAGATACTTGTTGTTTAACAACTTACCTGTTTAACAATTGTCAAACTTACAAAGTATAAAATTTCACAAAAAAAAAAAATATACAGTCAGTATTGTACATTATACGAAAATTTCTAAATAAATAAAACGAATGAATAAAGGGAATAAATAAATCAAATTTTTCTTGTTCTGTATTTACAGTATATAAATTGAATTAATGTACAGAATATAAAGTTGATTCTGAAATTTGTCTATTGCATTCACTGTTCAGTACATGACTATATTGTCAGTGGTTCTCAACAGTTTTTGCCCGCTGTCCTCTTTTCAGCATATGTCAGAATGTCATCCACCCCTTTCCAAGATTGTTAAACTCAAAAGGTGCTTCGAAGGCAGAGAGTTAGACTGTTAGCCAAGTTTTTTCCATATTAGTACATACACATAGGTTATTTTTAGAGAGGAGTTTTACAAATTTAATAGCCATAGAAAATGTTGATGGATTTTTTTAAACTTGTGTATACATGTACAGTAAATTGTTTTAATTCATAACTAATTATTAAATAAACTGAAGTGTATATCAGTAGACAAAAAGTTCAATAGAATGCCAGGGTATTGTAAATCAATAAATAAAATTCTGTAAATAGAAAATCCCTGAAATTCCCAGCTGGAGGAGAGGATTCCCCCTTGGTTGAGAACATTTCAAAATAAGTTAAGTGTTATAAATGGTGCAAAAGCGACATTAAAAGCTATCTGAAGTGAGTTGATACAAGCCCATTCTATGCTAGTATGCCTGAAATAGCTCAAGTAGAACATCCTGCTTAGCAACCAGCTTGTTAGAATGGAACTGGTTGTTAAGTATGGAATGGAAATATATATATATATATATATATATATATATATATATATATATATATAAAAAAATTTGAAAGATTCACTCAACACTACCTGGATTTCAACCTTACGGTCTCATCAGATGGTTTTTGGTAAATAATTTGTAGCACAATTCAAGCTAACTTACATAACTTGGTGTCAAAGTAAAATTATCAGAAGTGGAGGGGGTGAGGAAAGAATTGGAAGTGAGAGAAGGAAAAAAATATTTTCGTAAATATAATCATCTGGGTACATATTGGGCCAGATTATGTTT